ATCCTTGACACTTTGAGAATCCCTGTGCAATTCCAAGCCTGATATAATTCCAAGCCCTTTACAACCAATATATTCTGAACCACTAAAGGTAAGGTTCAGTTATAATTGATAAATTCTATACTGAGATCAGCAATAAAAGATTCAAATTTATTTCTTCCTCACATAAAAATATGAGGTACGTAATTCAGATAATTCACTGTGCTCCAAAAACTCTTTGAAATTCAAGTATTTTTGAATCATTCACTTCCTCCTGGATGTGGTCCCCAACCTTGGGGTCCAAGATGGCGACCGGGGCTCTAAGTATCACTTACAGCAGAGAAGAGATAAAGAGGAAAGGGGAAAAGGGACAAAGGAGCCAAAACAGATGGTTTTCTGGGAAGTGGACATACAACATATGTGCTTATCCTGTTGACCAGCCACACGGGAAGTTGGAAGTTGCAACCTCTACCCAAACCCAACCCAACACTGGATGGAGGCTGCCCATCATGGAGTCTTTCTCCCTTTCCAGAGGGTAGCCTTGGTGCTGAAGGGTGGCTTCTCAGCCTGGGATTCGATTTTCCAGCATCTCCTATAATAATCAATAGATATGAACAGAGATGGAGTGGGTACTTCAGGCCAGGGTAATTCTGCCTTTCCACATTCCACTGCCTTCTATTTGTTTATTGACATTCTAGAAAAATGTGGAAGCCTGTTGTTATAAAGATGGGGGAGTCACGAGAGGGACCGAATCTGGATCTCTGAATTACTGACTGGAGAAGAGTCTCCTGCTAATGAGAAACTCACACTTTAGACTTTATGTGTGCAAGAAATAAACTTCTCTTGTGTTGGACCACTTAAATTCTTCGAGATTAAATTCTTAGAGCCCATCTTATTTTCCACCATGCATTATAATTATGGTTATAACATTATATTTAATACTAATGAGAATGCCATGATAATTTCTCACTAAATCTCTATAAACTCAATATGTTCTACATTGCCTATTACCACAGTAGGTGTGGAATAAACTCTGGGCAAACTATTACCAAGCAATAGAGGCATGCACAAAAATCATGGGAATACCAAGCAAATAGTATTTAATTCAACCTGAGAACATTATATTTAATTTCCAACCCAGGACCATGTATGTCATAATATTATATTTTACATTAAGCATAAATGTTCCATTGAATGAATTTTCTAGTTTATATTCAATGGAATGTTTTGTTCCATCTTACATTGCACATTTAAATGGTGGTGTCCGTGCAGACTAGATAGGCACCTCGTATATTCAAAAGAGAAGGCTGTGGACTCTGGGAAAATTTATGAAGAGTGACTTCAAGGAGAAAGATCAACTTACAGGTAATGTGGGGCTCTTGTTCAGACCCCGAAGTGGCCATTGCCTGGAACACAGAGAGGCTTTCTTCAAGCTGTCGTTTTGAAATATCCACACTCTATTCTTGTGGCAGGCAGAGCATTTCCCACCAACATGGAAACCCAGAGTGCTGATAACTCTTGATGACAAGTGAGTTGGCAAACATTCTTCCTTCGTAAATGGCACCCTTAGATGACCGCCTGGCTTGCCCTGCTACCCACTTTCTTTCCTCTCGCCCTGCCCTTCGCTGGAGCAAAGCTTTCCTGTCCTGACACTTTATGACCTCAACAGCTCCTGGCAGTCTCCTCGGCACCCAGCATCCTGTTTCTCTGCGTAGGACTTTCGTGTCTTGGGATTGAAACTGCTCTCCTACGCAGCTTTAATTTCCCCCAAGCTGTAGTACAGGGCCTTGCACGTAGTAGCAAATACGTGACTTAGTTTCAAATGCGATTTAAACTAGTTGGCCCAGTTTACAGGAAAACTGAGGAGAAAAACTACATTTAGTACTGGGATAGGAAGAAAAATTAATTAAAAGTGGAATCCTTGAGGGAAAATGTGAGTCTCGAGGCTGCAATATGTTGGAACAAGTTCTGGGCTGGGTGGCGGGAGGCTCAGATTCTGATCCTAGCTTGGCCACCAACTGAGTGACCTTGGGCAAGCCAGGTGACCACTGCATTTCAAGGCCCTTATTCCTAAAATGAGGCAGGAGACGACCTCTGCAGGCCACTCATGACCCAACACCTTTTCCAGAAAGAGAAGGCCTCACTTCAAAATTAGACAGGCTGTCTACTTGTGAAGTCATCGACCACTTTTATTTCATTTAATGGCTTAGTTTATTTCAGTGGGAGAGATGCATACAAACTTTCTGAGATGAGGAGAACTGCCAGTGAGGTATGAAAGCAGGCAGCCTCTTACAATTCCAACTTGAAAGTTTCAGTGGCCACGAAGAGAAGCAGAGAATGGAGCCCACAAGGTCTGCCTGGGCCAGGGAAGACCAGTGCTTGCTACCAAGGCACTACCAATTAATTTTCAATCAACAAATATAAAGTGTGCATATTTATTGTAACACACATGATATTTTGAAATACATATACATTGTGAAATGGCTAAATCAAGGGACTTAACATTAGCCACAGAATTTTTGGAGTGAAACATTTGGAATTTACTCTTTTAGCAATTCTCAAGTGTACTTATTATTATTACTATTATTAATCTACTTAATAATAATGCATTATTAGTAGGAACTAGAGTCACCATGTTGTACAGTAGATCTCCTGAACTTCTTAACATCGAACTGAAATTTTCTATCCTGTGACTAATGTTTTCTCTTTCTATAATATTCTGCCTAGCAAACTACATCTTAGCAGGTAGCACTGACTGTACATTTGAAACTCCCGGCCTGGGTTCACTGAGGCAATAGAACTTGTCTGAGAAGCGAAAAGTTCAAGAATCCACCTCTCAATTGTGGATCAAGAACGCTGGGGTCTGGGTGTGGTTTGTCTCTCAAGGGTTCTGGTGCTGAGAGCTGGGTCCCCAGTGTGTGGTGTTGAGTAGCAGTAGAGATTTTAAGAGGTGGGGACTAGAGGAAGGTGGTACGTCACTGGGCACACTGCCCTTGGAAGAGATTAACGTAGGTCTCTGTGGTCCTGCTTAGTTCTAGCAAGAGCAGATTATTATAAAAAGAGCAAGACTGGCCCCTCTCAGGGCTGGCTTCATGTCTCACCATGTGATCTCTCCCTCCCACACATGCTTCCACATGATGCCCTCTGACATACTGTCATGTAAACAAAGGCCCTCCCCCAAGGCTGAACAGATGGAGCTGCCTGGTCTTGGGCATTTAAATAAAACTCTTTTCTTTATAAGGAGTCCAGCCTCAGGCATTGCATTCTAGCAACACACAGTGAGCTGATACAGAAAGCTTGCTAACAACAATGCGGACACCATACAACTAGAAAAAGCCAGGAGCCAGGGGCCAACACCTTCTCCAGCTCATCCTTGGAGGCTACTTGAGAGGCAGACTTGGCTTACAGGGGCTGTAATTATCTAGCTGAAATAGGAAAATTAGTGGGACAGATATTGGTGTCCTGTGGTCCAGCAACTCCACTTACACAGTTCTAGACAGTAGCAGAGGGCAGGAAGGGTCTCATTAAACTGTCCAAAAATAAGACTTTGCCATTTGGATAAGTCATTTCTGGACTCCAGAAGCCTCAGAGCTTATGAAAACTCCAGGTGAGGAACAGAACCCTAGAGAATAGTATTGAGTTTTAAATAATTCCCCTCGATGATGGTAGTGCAGCTACACGGGTGTCTTGGCTGTCACTCAGATACAGTGGACACTTCCTTGCTCCAGGGCCATTGCTCTAATGAGTCCTCTTCTGCCATGATCTTTCCCCAGATTCTACCTGTTAATTCCTTCATCTCCTTCAAGGCTCGGTTTATCTTGCACCTTCCACACCAGGCCCTCCTCTAACCCCACAGAAGGCTGCCTTGGTCTCCTTCTGTCTGGATGCCACTCTTGCCCTACCCTGTCCAGTTCTACCTTTCTTTCTGACACAGAACTCACCACTTTCACACATATCATATAATTTAATTATCCATTGGTTCCGAGTCCCTGGTTTTACCACCTTCTCTCCCCCAGACTGCATGGTCCCTGGAGGTAGGGATCTTTGGTTGTTGCTATTCACGGATAAATCCCAAGCACCTAGACACCAGTGCCTGATGCACAGCTGATGCTCAGAAGTGTCTGGTGACTAAATAGCAGAATGAATGGGATTGTAGGAAAGCCCCCTGGTTTTCATTGACTCTAGAAATATGAAAGCAATCTGATAGCTCTTCTGGCTGCATCTGAGGAGTTGGTCATACAGAATTCATAAGAATCAAACAAATCCAAAGCACCTTATGAACTTTTGAGAATACATGGGGGAAAAAAAACTGTAGAAGACTAAATTAGGTCTTCAAAGATGCTCTCTCCATTTCACAGATTGGAAGATTAAAGCTTAGAGAGCTCGATTAACCTGCCCATAGTAAGAATGAGGTTTCGTTATAAGTGATTTAGATGCTTGAACTAACTTAATGAATGTTCACATCAGCCATGAAGTAGGGAGCATTAGAGTCTCCCTTTTGCAGATGGGGAACCTGAGACATGAAGTCATCAAATGCCTTCCCCATGTTCACATGGAAGAAAGCGTCACCCTGTCACTCCCATGTACCACACGGCCTCTAACAATTCTTCCAGCATCTCTGGAAGACCTCCTTCAAACAGTCCTGATGAGTGTTATTCTGAATACTCTAGGAAACAGTCCCAAACATTTTATGTTTCACATTATCAAATATTGTGCTTGATTTTCACAAAAACGTTGACATGGATACAAAAATGCTCATTTTTGGTCTAGGACTGGGGGTGGGGGTCATCACTGGGGGCAGCTGTACCCATCCCCTATTGAGTAAGGACTGTAAAAGGCTCAACATCTGTCACCGCTCTTCCTCACACAGTGCAGGATGGGTTCAGTGGCTCTTCCGTTGGTGGGAATGGAAAGCAATAAAGCAGATCAAAAAGAAAGGGACTCTGTTTTCTCCCTCTTCCAAGCAGATGGTTCCCCAGCCCTCCCCGCACCCCTTCCCTGCAGGGGTGATAAGCCCAGCCTCACCCCAGACCCCAGGCAAAGCCCACTTCACTTGCTCAGAGTGATCAGAGGCCATCCTCTCTGAAGAGCAGCTTTGGTCATCCTTGGCCTCTGTGCTTGGAAATAACTAGAGAGATCAAATGGAGGACTAAAGATGAGGTCATCTGGGGTCTGGCAACCAGATGGGGTCCCCAGACCTCTGCTTCTCGAACTATGTACATAGAAAGCAAGTTTGTTTTTCTTGATCCTTACAAGACCAAAATTTGTAAAATATTTTCCAAATGAATTACCAGGGGTGGGGGTGAAAAGAAACGCAAAAGTCCGATTTGTGTTATTATTAGATTTCATTAGATTAATATCTAAATAATAGATCAGATTTAATTAGATCGTTACAAAAATTATAAATTTATAAAAATTGCTCTATCAGGTCCTTATTAAAAGTTTTGAATAGCTTACCCTTGATTTCTATATTTATCCCATGGAGGACAAGTAAGCAGATCTGGGGACCACACATTGAGTGGCAATGCCCTAGAACAGGCCGTGTGGCCTGGGACCTGCCTTAGGTGACAGCAGAGGAAAATACTATGACTTAAAAAGCAAATCCAAGCTCAGCATCCAAGGGAAAGACACAACTCAGCCCAGTGAGGGCAATAAGCAGAGATCAAATACAAGTGTTGCCACTGAGCAGAGGTAGGAAAGAGGGACGAGCTGGTGGAGGGATCAGAAGACCCCCAGACCTCAGATCAGTATTTTGGCTAATCGGTCGTACGTGGACTGTATGTTTAGCACACAGTTGGAACACGGCTAAACATGAGCTCAGGAGACGTGGAATTCCCCTCGAGAAGCAACAGAGTCCTCTTTCATCCATGCCCCTTTATAAGGTCAGGGTACTGGCTGCCTGTCCTTAAATATGTAAACTGAGTAAGTCCATCCTGGTTTGAGTAGGAATCCAGGAGAAGGAAGCATCCATTTTGAGAACAACCAGGATTATATGTCACTTGATCCCAGGAAGCTTTGCTATGGGGTCGGTCTCTTCCTGCACGGTGCTTCCTGGTGAACTTGTCCCAGGGATTTCTATTCCCCTCCACTTGCTGATGCTTCGGATGTTCAAGTTGAGATTCATTGCCAGTGCCTTGGACCTGTTGTTACTCCTCTTCATGGCCGCCTCCAGCCAGTACCGTAGGCTTCCCAGGAGCTACTAAGATGGCAGGGAAATGTTGTTTTTCTCCAGAAATTAGAGCTTCAAGGGCTCTTTAGAGTCTTGTTCTTTTTATTTCATAGTCCTCTCTGCAGGAGAATGAAGTACACCTTTTCCCTGGGATTTCACCTCTTGACATTTGAGAGTTGCCAGCCATGTTCAATCTTTATCAGCCAGAATCCCCAGACAGAGGACAGAACCCCATTTTCCAGCTCTCTCCCATTACAGGGTGCCGCTGCCTCCTCACAACACCCCAGAATGGGCATCCTTTCCCCTGCCCTGCATTGGGGGTTTTGTTCCAGAAGCCCGCTTTCAGCCCCAGATCCTCTCGGCCATGTATTCCAACAAACATAAAGGTTCTCATTTTAAAAAGACCTCTGCGTAACCTGTCCGGATAGGCAGAATTGTAAAGGGAGCAAGGAGATTGAGTTTCCCGGCCCATAACAACTCCTGGACACAGTTGGCTAAGGGAATTGATATCCATGTGACAAGCCACCTTCTCAAAGGCACTGTCTTCAATGCAATCGCCATATCAGACACGAATTGTCTATTGTCCATTCATTTGAAAACCTTTCCTCTGAAGAGCTCTGTGTAATAACAGCTAAGTGTTGGTTACTTGACAAATGATCGGGAAGTCCCATCTAGAGCTTGGGGAACTACACAGAAGCAAAGGATGAATTAAAAAAAAATGCCAAAGGGAAATGGTTCCCAACTAAGAGTGACTCCCCTCCCTCACCTACCCCACTCTGGGGACATTTGGCAATGTCTGGAGACTTTATAATGTTCATGATTAGGGGTGTGGGTGGTACTCTTGGCCTCTGGAGGGTCAAGACCACAGAAGCAGCTAAACATCCCACTCCACAGCAGGACCTCCTCTGCCCGCTGGATGAGACACAGACTTATCCAGTGCCTAATGCCAGGAGTGCAAATTTGAAAAACCCACACCACTGAAGGGCAAGTAATTAATAATTGTGACATAGATTGGTTTGATACCTGAATTTGGTAGGTCAGTCACCTGAATTATCCCAAAGATCAATGTACAGTTGTAGGGCTTGCTTTGACAAATAGAAAAACAGCATTAGCTTGGGAAATCAACTGCTGAGCAACGCGTGCCTCTTAGGACCAAGGTGCAATGGGTGAGTTTACCTTCGCAAGTCCGTGTCTCCTCTGGCAATCACTGTGGCATACCCTGGAACCACTGCATGGCTCTCCCTCCTCGTTTGCACCCCAGCAGAGGCTTCACTTTACAGTGTGATCCTGGAAAAGGATGAAAAAAGTGGCACATGGTGTCTTCCTTCTCCAAGCATCTAGCCCAGGAGTCCTAGTACTTGAATGTGCACTTGAAGCCCCCTAGGGGGCTGTCTTGATGAAGTGCTCATTCTGACTCAGCGGGTCCTGAGTATGCCCGAGACTCAGCATTGCTAACAGGCTCTCCGGGCAGGTCCAAGGGCCACACTTTGAGTAGCATTGTTCTAGGGCATATCCTTGTTCTTGATCGTGGTCCTGATCAAAATATTACTTCAACTACAGATCATCCCCGACTTCCGGCAGTTTTATTTATGATTGACTTTAAGATGATGTTGAAGTAACCCACTTTGAGTAGAAACCATACTTTGAATTTTTTGATCTTTTCATGGGTGAGTGAGTGTGATGTCCTCATGATTCTAGGCGGCAGCAGCAGCAAGACACAGCTGCTGATGGGCCACATAAGATATTTAATACGGGAGTGCAGGGGCTGGGGTTGTGGCTCAGTGGTAGAGCACGGAGTTTGATTCCCAGCACCACATATAAATAAATAAAATAAAGATCCATTGACAACTAAAAGATATTCAATACTTTTAGAGTAGGCTCAGTTTTGTATGATTTACCAAACTGCAGGCTAACGTGAGGACTCAGAGCTGTTTAACATAAACTAGATTAAGCTGGGATGCTCAGTAGGCTAGGTGTAATCAATGCATTTTTAACATATGATGTTACAATGGGTTCATTGGAACATAGTCACCCCATCATAAGCTGAGGAGCACCTGTATTCAGACCTGAGGCTTACCTCCTAAAGAAGCGAGGAAGACCACACGGAGTGGAGGACAAGGGATGCATTTGAATTAAAGCGCGTATTTAATTCTGAATCTTCCTCACAATATTTTGTGACCCTGGATGAATTAACCAATTTTTCTGATATCCGTTTTCTCATCTTCATATGGATAGATAATCATTTCATATGATGGGTGGCAAGGATTAAATAAGATCATGGGTCCTCAGTCCTTTATCCAAAATACTTATAGCCAGATGTATTAAAAATCCAGAATATATTTAAATTTCTAAAAAGTACCAAGGTGCATGTAAGATATATTATATAACAGGCCCGGAGGCGTGTGGAGCGGTGGCCTGTAATCGAACACATTAATATTCATGCAGCAAAATATATGAATACTGTACCAAGCAGCAGAATAAGGACTATAAACAGCTGAAGTTTGCATCGGGCTTTCTTGCCAATATTTTCAGATCAGGTATGAGTTATAAGGAAGCTTCCAGTTGCCTGAGCTTCTCTGGCTTTGGAAACTCTGGGCCACAGGACTGACAACCTATCCTTGGTCTGGAAGAACATTAATCATTCTGCTGGAAGAGCAGGATGTATTCCTTTCCTCCCAATCTTACAGACTAAGGAGGCAAAGCCCCTGAGACAAGGACGAGCTGTGGGCGGGCATTAACCCTGGGTGTAGTGTACCCAAGCCAAGGAGAGCCCAGCAGGCCCAGGCGGGACCTGAGGTCAAAGCCACACCAGCCCCTAGAAGAGCTCCACAGTGAATCCTGTCATCACTCTAAGCCATATGCAAACACACACACACACACACACACACACATTTGCACACACATGTGCTCACACTCCTAAAACCATCAGGACCTGGGGCGTGGCTAAACTCAGAATTTGGAGTCAGGCAGAAAGTAGAGATGGAATGTCAAATATCTTCTGAGAAAAAAACACACCCTAATTCCCCCTTTAGTTCTTAAAATTAGATAAGAATTTCCCTATGGAGAGTCTTTGACAACAGTTCTCCAAAATGTCTGAAGAAAGGGCTGAGCACGGTGGTGCACGCCTATAATCACAGTGTCTTGGGAGGCTGAGACAGGAGGATGGCAAGTTCAAAGCCAGCCTCAGCAACTGCGAGGCACTAAGCAACTCAGTGAGACCCTGTCTCTAAATAAAATTCAAAATAGGGCTGGGGATGTGGCTCAGTGGTCGAGTGCCCCTGAGTTCAATCCCCAGTACCAAAAAAAAAAAAATGTCTGAATCAAAAAATGGGCACCAGACAAAAGGCTGCGTCAAGTCATGACCCTTCATTTACATGAACAATCTGATGGTTGCATGTGTGGCTCTTTTTTTTCTTTCTTTCTTTCTTTTTAAATTATTTGATGTTACAGTCACAGCTCTTTGTGCCACACACTTGGAGGTGAACATGTTGCACAGCATTAAGGAAAAGCAAGACCTCTTGTCATGTCAATCCATCTGTCCAACGCTTGTCATAGAATCTTATTTTTCAGGACAGGGAATGCAACTAGAGCTGAATAGGAATGTGGGACTTACCTGTGGCTTTCGCAGCAAGGTGTGCCTTCCCTGGACCTGTGGTCAGAGGCTCGAGTCTGCTCCATTTTCTGAACAGTTGGTGAGTGGTCAAGGTCTGATCACAAGCTGCAGGATTTCACCCTACAATGTAATGCACTCTGCAATGGAAATGGGAGGCTGAGAGCATTGCTCTGGAGATGATTCTAGGGCTGACTGTGTGTGTGGTGATTCGAGGAGTGGCTTCTGAAGCAGCCTGCCTGAGAGTGCTGTGTAACTCCGCTGCCTGCTGACGCTGTGACATTTAGCTCCAGTGTTTTGTTGATCTGTTTCCTCACATTTAAAATAAAGATAATAATAGGCACTGCTTCCTAGAGCTGCTGTGAGCGCTGAAATGAGTTCATCACACAAGAGAAGAGCACATAGAGGAGGCCTCTGTGGGAACTGCTACTATTCTATTAATCTAGCTTCTGCTTCTGGACTGAATTGGATTGCAAGCCAGGCCCTGTTGACCACGCTGACAGCTCTCCACACCAGATGGAGGTTAGGATCCTTCATCTTTCAGGGTTACCATTAGTTATCCCGACTTCACAGGTGAGGAAACTGACGCTGGGTGAGTTTAAGTGACTTGCCTAAGTCCACACAGCTAACCAGAGGCAAGGGCCACCTTTGGAAACCACAAACACATAATTCCAAATTCCAGATACTGCTGTCTAGTCTCCAGACTTCCACACAACCTGTAAAACTCACCTAGAAAGTTGAAGGACACAGCCAAGGTCATCATGCTGTAAGGAGCACAGTAGGACAGCTGAAGACACTGGCTACCAAGAAACCAGTCGAGGAACACAAACGGCAAAGGAAAATCCCTTGATTGATATCACCGCCATGCCACTCAGCCTAAAGTATGTCGATGGCAAAAGCTGTGGACAGGTAGAATGTCCTGGAAAACACAGGGCGAGTCTCTGAATCAGGTAAGTCCAGCCACCTGAGCAAATGGCAGCTGCAGCCTTATTTTCCTCCTTAGCAGCTCAGGCCAGCACGCCTCCCAGTGGACACAGCTCCGACTCCCCCAGGGCTGCCGGCTCCTCCGGCACAGGGAGAAGAGAAAGTCCTGCCTTGGGCCCGGGGGTGGCAAGACGGGGGCCTGTGTGGTCTGGCAGGAGGTTTCCTTGTCTGAGCAAGGAGGACGCTAACTCTCAACTGGGTGGTGGGGAGAGGCGTCCCATTTCCCCCTGTGTCCACGGCTGCCTCTGAGGCGCAGGACAGGGAAGCGGCTCAGCTCAGTGAAAACACTTCCCAACAAGGAACCTGTAGCTAGCCTGCGGCTCTGACCCCCAGCCAGGAATGTGGGGGAGAGGGAGCGAGAAACCTCTCAGCAGAGATCCTGGTTGGAAAGAATCACTTTAAAATGTGGCTATAATTTCTCTGAAGAAAAAGAGACACATTCAGGGTCATTCTAAAATAGTCTTTGCAGAGACATCTGTTCCGGTGACAGCTTCGCTAAACCAAGTAAGTAGGCAATGCTTCTAGTTTCCTGTCAAGCAGATCAAAGTGTGTTTGCATGTAGAATAATACATTTTAGTAATGAATCCCCTGCATGTAGCAATATTAAATTAGAGGTGGATCAGGTGGGGCAGGGCTGGAGACGATGGCACGCGGCTGTGCCAATGGCCTTCCTATGGCTGTTACAGGCAGGAGGAGTGGGGTGGAGGTGACTGGGGGACGTTGATGCGACTGATAGCATCTCCCACTCGGGCTGGGAGATGACTCACCAGCCACAGACTCATTAGCACAGGGTCACCCAAGGACTGAGCAGTTCTTTTCAGAAAAGAGGCACAGACATCCAGCACTCTTCTTGCATTTCAATAACTCTCTTTCAAAGAGGAGAAACTGGCTCTGCGAGACCAGAATCTGAGTCCTCTGATGAAAAGATTTATTGCTCTAATTAGGAACGATTTTACTGATTTCTAATAAAATTCTCAATATCAGGTTAACAGTTTGTGTTCTTTCATTTTGTTTGCTTTGTTGTTGTTGTCGTTCAGAAGTGCTGTCCCTGTCCCACACCTATCCACAATTTTGCACCTGTGAGCTCTCGTGGGGCCTGGGCATCAGCATTCCAGCATATAGGACCCAGGCGCATTGCTGTTCTCCTCGGTAATATAGATGCCTGGGTGGGTTTGTGCCCACCATGAGGCCCTTCCCTGATCCTGCTGCTCTCCTGCACACTCATCACTCTCCAAGCCAAGGCCTCCAAACCCTGGGAATGATTCTGGACCTACTGGCTCTCTTTCTTCAAACCAAGTCTGTGTTCTCAGTCTTCTTCACACTGGATTGCTGTTCCCTCCTCGCCATCCTCAGTGAGGTGCTAGCCACAATTCCCAGCCCTCTCCTCCCCTATCCTGACACAGCCATCCTAACTGTTGGTCTCCCTGCCCCACTGCCTTGAACACTTCTTTACATGCAAATCTGATCAACATTATTTAACACTTCAAGGTCATCCCCTTGCCTTGAACCTCTTTTCTGTGCAGCTATCCAAGGCCCTAGTCATCTGTTACATGGATTAGATCTCCTGGCACCTACCCTTTAATACCAGTGCTGAACTTCAGGCAAGCACTACTACTTAAAATTCTCCCAACCGCCATGTTGTTTCACCCATTTGACTTTTCCTGAAGCTGAAATACCCTGCATCCCTTCAATAAGTCACAGTTGCTGACAGTGTAGTATTTCAATGCCATTGACATTCACAGGTTTGGAGGTCTTGGGTAAGTCCTGCTATACCTTTGGGCCTAGGGTTCCAGTTCTACAAAGAGGTGCTTTGGAACTTGAATAACAAGGCAAATAGGCTCATCACAACTACATGTGTATCGAATGTACACTTGAAAGGTAATTTGAACAATTTCATCTTCCCTTGAACATTTGGATTAAGGGCCTCCCATTCACAGATCTGGGTCCCTGGTTGTGGGTTCCTGTGGGCATGGCTCATCTCTTTGGAGACCTTTATTCTCCTTCACCTCACCAAACACTAAATCAGAATCATTTAGGTATTTTTTCTAAAATTTTCCTTCTTTTTATTTGTTTTTGTACATTATTTCACTTTAAATGTTCAGTTTAAACCTGAATTTGAAATCTGTGTTCTGACTAGGGGGTCTGCGGGGCCACCCAAGGTAATGGCAGTGTTCTACATCTTGGCTGGGACAGGGTTACACAGGTGTACACCAATGTAAAAACTTTACTCAACTTTGGGCCTGAGAGTTGATATATCTTGCTACACACAAGTTGTATCCTGACATGAATAAATAAATAAATACCATCAGAGTAGATTACACTTGTGGTATAGCTTGGCACTATTCCACAATGATGCTGATGGATCACTTTTTCTCTGAGAAATCCACTATCACTGTGAAAGGTGAAATTTGTCCCATGTGTGGTCTAGGAGACACATTCTTGTTCAGCTCATTCCTCACCCAGGTAGGTGGTTGGTGAGGAGCAGTCTTGCTTTCTCCTCCACTCCCTAGAACTCTGGACAAAAATAGATAGATAGATAGATAGATAGATAGATACATACATACATACATACATACATAGCCACACTCTCACTAGTAATAAAAGCTCTGAAAGGTTATAAATTTTCTTTTTTGGTACCAGTGATTGGACCCAGGAGCACTTAACCACTGAGCTACAACCCTAGCCCTTTTTTGTATTTTATTTAGAGACAGGGTCTCACTGAGTTGCTCAGGGCCTTGCTAAGTTGCTGAGGCTGGCTTTGAATTTGCAATCCTCCTGCCTCAGCCTTCTGAACCACTGGGATTGCAGACAGGTGTGTGTGTGTGTGTGTGCCACTGCACCCAGCAAGGTTATAAATTTTCTGTCTGCACCTCTGCTCTCCCTGAACACTGGGCACCAGCCAGGTCAACACAGTCGGTATCAATATTTCACATATGAAAAGCAAACTTCTCTCACTTATCAACCTCAGTCTTCCCAGAGACTTTTACCCTTTCCTGGCTATTTGCTTGGACAGCAGCACCAAATGCAAAATTATTTTTTATAATTATTGTTACATGATATTTTTAGTATATGCAATTGGAAAATTGCCTTCCTCATATTTTCTAATGCAGGCAAATGAATGTATATAAGAATCAGCTTTGAAAAATAGCATCTCAGAGGGTGCTATTTTGGTTATTTTCTTTTGTTGCTATTTTTCTGAGTATTTCATCTTGGCCATGGTCACTAAGATGTTGGCCTTCTAGGGGGAGATGAAGGCATCCTGCAGAAGGGGTTCACACAACAGCCTGTGCACTGATGTTTGTAGCAGCTTTATTAACAGGAATGCAGAGCAGATTAAATGTTGTCAGGGGCTAAGAAGGTGAAAGGAGAGGACAGGAATGACAGAGGAATAAACGGTGTGGCCACCAAGGGAAGCACAGGGGCTATGGTTTGAATGTCTGTCTCCCAAAAGTTGATGTATGGGAAACTGAATCCCCAATGCATTTGCTCTTAATGATACCCAGAGGTGAGGCCTCTGCAGGTGACTAGGAGTAGAGAAGGTCCAAAGGGTGGGGCCTCTGTGATGATGTCAGAAGTGGCTTTTTAAGAAGAGTAAGAGCGACCCCAGCTAGCTTACATGCTCCATCACCCCGTGATGGAACTTTCTGCCATGTCTTGATGCAGGAAAAAGACCCTCACCAGATGCCAAGCAGGTGCTAGTGCCATTGCCTCCAGAGCTGGGGACAAAACAAACTTCTATTTTTCGTTGATTGCCTGGCCTCAGGATTTCTTTATAGCAACAGAAAATAGACTAAGACAACAGGGGACCCTTATGGTGACTGCAGTCTTCTATATGTGGATCAGATCATTGGCGATAACCTGCTGGTGATACTGTCCCTACAGTTCTTCAAGGTGTTCCCACGGAGGGACATGGGTAAAGATCTCTGTATTACTGCTTACAGTTGCATGTGAATTGACACTATCTAAAAAACAATAATTACTTTTAAAAACTGGGAAAAACAATGGAAGGGATTCATCAGACTTAGAGGGTAGGATCACGGTGCATCTGGATGAGGAAGGTGTGAGGAGAAGGAGGTCCACCCACCAGAGGCCTCCTCTCCACTCTAACACAGCAGAGGTGTGAGGCCTGCTGCTCCTTAAGAGACAAGTGTGGCGGAGAGGGGAGGCAACTCACCCCTTCTTCATCCCCAGGGAATGGCGGAAAGCACTCAGAGAACGGGGAGCACATTGGGCTGAAGTGGTCTTCATTTGGTATCAGAATCGGACAGAGAAAGGGATGATACTGGAGTCCCCTGCCATTGCTCCCCTTAGACAGTCTCAGAAGGTGGCACCAACGTGAGCAGAGTCAGATCAGCTTTGAGCTTGGTGTGGTTAGGGAAAAGGGACCTCTAGGGGTTTGCTTTAAGCCACCTTCTGTTCTGACTTTCATCAACTCCAAGGTGTGCACAGAGAATGGCAGCATGGCAAGTGGCCACCAGGACCTCAGGGGATGTCGGCCAGGACTAGTCCCAGAGTCCCAACTCCTCTGTTGGCCAGACACACCGACACCCTGGGAAGGAGGGGCTGGGAAGGGGAGGAACGTCCTGCTGGGGAGCAGAGGAGGTGCTGGGTGCATCCTGATTCCACAGAGCTTCTGCGCCCCTCCCAGACTCTGCCCTATGTGTATCCTTTACAATAAGATTTTAATCATTCATCATAGTGCTTTCCTGGTGTCTCTGAGTTGGGCTAGAAAATAATGAAAACCAAGGGATCATGGAAGCTCCTGAATCTATAGCCAGTAGGTCAGAAGTGGAAGGGGCCTGGGTGCCACAAACTGTGGCCGGTGTATGACACAAGGACCATATCTGGTGGAGGTCAAGGAAAGTCTTGTCTGAGTCTTTAACCTGTAACTCCAGGTGTTTAGCACCAACATTAAATTGCAGTCCACCCATGCTGCAGGCCTAACCTCGGACTCTCACGGAGGAAAGCTTGTCTTGCTCATTGTCCAGCAAGAAAGTCATAAGACCAAACTCTATGCTTTGGGACAAAGTGCTGTCCAAACACTGGCAAGCGCAATTTCCTTGCTCCTTTGACAAGGAGTTATTCCCCTGTTGCTGGGGGGTCAGACTACGTGGCAGTGACATGACATGGATGTATCACCTCTGGCCTATCATGACTGTCATATATAAATTGACACATACCCACTAAAAAAGCTATTTTTGCTCTGCAATAAAGCAGACACTGTTCTCTGAAACTGTCTCTGGAGGGGTTTCTCCATGTCCTCAAGATCCCCACAGTTGGTTGTTGGAGGGTCAAGCCCCCCAGCACAACCATGCTCGAGTGTGTGGACAGCAGGTCTTGGGTGGTCTTCTCTACACCAGCACCCCTGATGTGCTTGGGGACATGTTTGTTTACATGGATGTCTC